GAGGAGGAAGAGGAGGAGGATGAAGAGGAGGAGGAGGAAGAGGAGGAGGAAGAGGAAGAGGAGGAAGAGGAGGAGGATGAAGAGGAGGAGGAGGAGGAAGAAGAGGAGGAAGAGGAGGAAGAGGAGGAGGAGGGTCATTCAATGAGCATTTGTACGTTGAGGATAAAAACATGGGAGAGGAGGTTTGTATTTGGTGCTGTTCAGGGTTCAACTGGTGTTTCAGAGCCAACAACATGGACGAAAGACAGAAATCTGAATAACTGAAGAGATCTAAACTGTAACGGGAGCGTTTCTCTGCAACTGAAGCTGGTTCTGGATCAAACATTAAACAGGTTATTCTCTTCTGCAAACAGAATCCCGCTCGGCTGTTCGACTCACGCTGTCCACGGCGAGGATCTTGGCCCAGATGAAGACCAGCAGCGGCCGAAGCTCTCGGGCTGAACTCTGCAGCAGCTTCAGGACGTACGGGAAGATTCCTACGGAAAGAGCCTGAAGACAGACGAGCGGTGTCAGCAAAGCAGCGCTACGGGTCGACATGTCAGAGGTCTGAGCTGCTGAGTGAAAGCAAACATCTGGGATCTAAAAACACCAGCAACACGCTCGCTTTCCCTTTGGCCCGTAGGCGTCGACATGAGGAGGTCTGGGCTGCAAAATGTTCAATTAAAATAAACGACCAGATGGGATGTACCCGTCTGAATCTGCAGGTATGCTGTCTTTAATAAATATAAAATAAAAAAAACAAACATCACTTATAAGAGCAAGAACAGAGAGAATCGTCCATTCTTCCAACGGTCCTTGAACGCCTCATCCGTGACTGAATTTAACAGTTTAATCAAAATCGCTTCGTTCCGTTTAAAAAGAAAAAGCCAAAAATAATTTAGTCTGACAATCACACTTCATAAAACAAAACAAATGTAGGAAGAATTCAGAGACTTTCTGGTTAAACTACAGATTAAACTAATTAATAAGGTCAGCAGGAAAGTCTGATTAGTTCGTCAGTGTTGAGGGAAAAGTTTTTAAAGTTGTTTAAAATAAATGATCAAACAAACTTTGCTTTCGTTTTTTTATGTCGCCGTTAAATGAACCAACAGTGAGTAAAAAAAACACACCAACAAAAAGTTAATTACAGATACAGTTAAATAATTCAGTCAGTCAAAACAGTCATGAGAGTGATTTCCTGGCCGCTAGTGACGGAAGCTAACGTTATTTTATCGCTAAAACTAAAGTAAAAAACTAACAAACTGATTTTAATTCAGATCGCGACACCAACACACATCCAGACGCCGTTTCTGAATTTAACACGTCCGTCTGTCAGACTGATGAAGTCTGAGGCTCAAACCTGGTGGAAAAAGTTGCAGAAATTTAAATAAGAGCAAAATTTAAACCCTCCTCTATGAACTCGAAGCACAAAAATACTCAGTTTGACAGTAGAACTTCATAAATACACCGACTGACCAGAACCAGAGGGTTCAGGTGGGACTGGGTTGGTTTGGTCAGATCTGATCGACTTTAAAACCGCCTGACCCGTTAATCGTGTTCGTTAACATCTAACACGAGCCGCTAAACTTTATCTGAAGATGTTTGACAATAAAGAAAACACAGAATTCGCTTTAGTCAAATAAAAGCAGAATTAACTGATCAAACAGATTTCCACGTGTCGGGATTTTGATGCTCAAAGTTCGAGAAAAAAATTTGTGCCGAACAAAAACAAGTGAAGTAAAAATAACCTGGTTGTTGTTTTTAACCCTGTTTGTGTTGTTGTGGCTCCAGTTTAGGTATTTTAGATTTAGCACATTTAGACGTTAACCTGCTGTAATGTGCAGAAAAACACTGTTTTTATCAATCTGAGTGCATCATATTTGATACGTGAGTTTATGAGACCAAATAAACCTGATAAACACGATCAGACACCTGCAGATAATCCACCACGGATCAGTAACTCTCAAATGTTCAATTAATGCTCCAGTTTCATGAAACTGAGACTCTCCTGAGACCGGACCTGTTTTCATTCTACTTCCTGTTCCTAAACGCTCTGTCAGAGGCCGGAAACCTGGAAAACATTCACAGCACGAAGGGGAACCTTTGCTTCACCCACCAGGCTGACGGCCCACGGGCCCAGGTCCAGGAAGCGTCCGAGCAGGTCCAGCGCCCGTAGCCGGTGCACCTGGCTGAGCAGCACCTGGAACAGAGCAGAGGAGGACGGTGAGCCGAGGAGGAGGGAGGACCGGAAGCCCGGATTAAGGGAGGACGGAGGGAGGAAGAGGGAGGACGGGGGACGGCGGGGGAGATGGCACGGAGGCCGGGGAGGAGCCGGGAACAGGTGGCCCTCCACCACAGGCCGCTGAGGGGGCGGCTCGGCCCGCTGGCGCCTCCCCGCTCGCCGAGTCGACACCTAAACATGTGAGTGTGTTTCCTTGATCGAGCTATTTAAAGGGTTCTACGAGCGTTTTACGGCGCCGCAGCCTCCCCGCTGTGACGGAGCATACGGAGGAGGCCCGGTCCCGCTCAGACGGATCCACCGACACGCCGCCGGTCCTCAGCGGCCGCCGTGACTCCGACCCGGCGAGCGTGAGCGGGGAGGCGGCGGGAGGCCGGGGGAAGACCGGGGAGGAGCGTGGGAACACGGGCGTGACGTCGGCGGCTTCTTGGCAGCAGCAAAGAAAACAAGAAGGATTCAGAGATCCTGGAGTGGAGTCGCTCCGTCACGACTCAGCTGATAAAAATAAAACTCCACAAATAAACGGTGGATTCTAACAGCAGTGGAAAGAAACCAGAACATTCAAGCGCTGTAAAGATAATAACTATAATTAATAAATATTCACTTTTTAGAGTCTGGGCGCTACAGAGCTGTTGGGAGTTTTATTATTATTCTTCAGCCCAAACAAACACGTTTCTGACGGCTTGAACATGCACGAAAAAATCACCAAAAACACCAAAATCACATGAGGACTGGCGAAAAATGTGATATTTTGAGGTAACTGGGCATGTCAATGGTGAAGTGGCTCCACAGCGCCCCCTTGAAAATGTTAACAGAGTCCTGTTGGAAGCACGTTTGACCCAGAGCTACACAATTTGGTGGCCACATGGAGCAAGTTGGGATGAAAAAATAGTCCCCCTGCTCCATGCTCTAACATGCAACATGTGTTGCATGTTAGAGCATGTTGCTGAACATGCTCTAACATGTTGCTCTACATGAGAGAGACTGTTCATACCTCAACTGTTGTCTGTTCTTCACCAGTCAAAGTTAATTATAGGAGCCTTGAGGCCCTGTGGGGCTTGTTAGG